GCTAGATGGCGTTGCAGGTTGCCGAGATTTTGCGGAATTGTTTTTGCACACTTCTATCTTCAATGTCACCGTTGTAAGAATCTTCAACTTTGTATTAGCATAATTTGTTTCGAATTTGTAGTGGATGATTTCAATAACATCTTAGTGAGATGTTCGTTTCTCTAAATTCTTTGTTTATTATTGCCCGGATCAAATCTGGTCGCTTGTTGTTTCGCTTGTTGTTTCCCTATCTAATAAAATTTCCAGACATCGCCACAAAAGCATTATGAACGGGGTTTAGCAAGTGATTCAAGAAGAAAAAGCTAACCAAACTGATTGTCGTGATTCGAATAGCTTGTCTCATAATCCTGTCTAAACCTGTGGGATTAGGGACGTTTTCTAAAGAATCTGGAAAATATTCGACAGTGCAGAGTACGGCTGAAACTAAGTCCGCCCCAATATTTCTTTACTTATCAAGAGGGTATGGGTACGCCTGTTTTACATACGTACCGATTACTACCAATCTAAATATATCTCAAATTAAGTGGCAGTGTGTATTAGATTATTCTCATTTTGTGCCTATTTAAGTGGCTGAGTAAGCGTAGTGTAGGGTTCGAAGATATTTTTTTTGGTGTCCACCATACTTTTAAAAACGTTTCGGAGGCTTATGCAGCCTCAGTCTCATGAATATATAGCATATCAAGATCCAATTACAAAACACTACAAAATCATGATTCAGTATTGAAGAGTCACACTTAAAGCCACCATCTCAAAATGACAAGGTCATTCGATTCGGACTACAATTAAAATGTAAGATTTAAATTCTGTGTTCCAAAATTAGAAACAATTGAAAATAATAATTCAAATTACAAATTTAATTTATTTTTTGCAATTACGGTGTTCCTATTTCAAGAGAGATCATCGATTTTTTTCAGATCAGCCCTACTGCTCCCCTTCCCCAATACTTTCTCTCTCCCCCCGTTGTCTAATCAAGGATTGAAATAAAACCTGTTTGATTTTCCAATTGTGAAATATTGTAGATCTCTTTTTCTGTTTCTCCTTAATAGGAACCAAAATTTTCCAAACATGAGTCTGAACAGAGGAAGACAGCAGGATTTTCTCAGCCCTAATCTCGATACAAGTTATAGAGGCCAATCTGAAGACAATACATCAACTTTTGTTTTTCAAGAGGATGAACCTGATACCATACCCTTAAGACCAGACTATTTTAGTACTATAAGTAGTAATATCGGCAAAGATGAATCAACTGAATCGCTCGATTTCCAACGACCACCACCCTCTCATCTCCATGCTAGATCTGACATACAAGGATATCCTGACCGTCCTATTTTTGACACTAGTCCAATACCATCTGATAATCAAGGAAATCCGTTTTCTGGAGATTATGAAATGCAACCCCAAAGGAGATTTACTCTTTCTCGTTATAGACCATTCGCATCCTCTTCTAGTGAAGTATTTGGTGACCAAGAGTATGGTGGACGTCCAGATTATGGTATGTTCAAAGGTGATGAATATGAATTGACTATTGTACCTCGCTCAGCTTCTGCAATGGGTTATGGTGAACTGGACGAAACTGTTCGAGATGAATCTGATAATGAGGATTATGACTACGATGGTGCTCCTGAAAAACCTCCCAAACCACTGTTCCCTAAAGCTGCACCCTTCAAAGCTCACAACGGACACTTGGTCTTGGATTGTCCAATTGCAAAAGAATTATTGTCTAAGTTACCGGATTATAAACCTGATGTCGAAGGCGGTGGGTTT